TTGGAGCCAGCTCACGTCGCCAGCCTAAGCTGACATCTGCAGCTGTGCTAGGTGGCGGTCTGGAACATTTCCAGAGCAGTAGAGAGTCTGTCCTGTTGGATGGTGCTATCTAGACCAGCCTGAGGTCCTGACGCTGCCGGTCCTGACTGTGCTGCCAGTGGGTGGAAGGGGGCAGTGCCACATCCCAGGGCTGTGGGTATGTGCTGGGCTGAGCAGTGGACTCCAAAGACCCTGGGTCCTCCCCCCTGCAGCCCATGGAAGATGTGATTGAACATCTGGTAGGGTTCTCTGCGTCATCTGGCATTCCCTCCCTGCTGTCCTCAGTACCTTGCAGAATGTGCAGAGTGGTCAGAGACACACTGAAGGGAGAACAAGGTGACCACTGGTGTATGGAGTGACTTAGACGCAGCAGCCAAGGAGTGGCAGCAGCCAGCACAGGCCAGAGGAGATAGTGACTGAGTTATCCTTAAGAGTTTCTAGAGGGCACAGCTCTATCCTTTTGCCTCAGACCTCCAGTTTCCAGTTCAGTCACCAAGAAGCAGCGATTTAATATGGTAATGATAGCAAACCAACACAAAGACCAAGTGAGTTCATGCGTAAAGCCATCTTGACACAGAGTAAGTATTCAGGAAATAGCTGTCCTCCCCTCTTCCCCAGATGCACACCTGAGGTACCCAGGCACTAAGATGGCTACAATTACAAGTGAGGCCCTGAGAGTTACAGTGGGGGAACCCCACACCTGAGTTCTGACCCTGGGGCTAGGAGGAGGGATGAAGGCCAAGCCCAGGAAGTTGGTTCTTGCTTGACGAACCTTGACCAAAAACTGAAGCAGCCTCTAGCTAGTTATACTTCGCAGACTGAGATCTTTGACGAAAGCTGCTGCTTCACATCACCCACCCTCCGCCAAGGGTGATGCGAACTCTGCACAAGATCCAGGGATGCAAGACACCGAGGCCTCCCGTGGCGTAAGGATGGCAGTCATTGTTTTAACCGTACACCAAGAGCTTAAAGATCATAGATCTCTATCTCTATCTCTATCTCTATCTCTATCTCTATCTCTATCTATCTATATCTATCTATCTATCTATCTATCTATCTATCTATCTATCTATCTATCTATCTATCTATCTA